GGTGATCCAGGCTGGAGTGCTGTCTGTCTTGTATATGCTCTGGCAACTAAGATTAGAGTAACTACACGTTGTTTATATAATAATTTTCCATGTGGAGTAATTGTTTGAGGGACAAGTATGAAAAAATGCAAACCTAAAGCAAATCTCTATGTCCCAGGTTCCTATACTAGTAGGATTTGTGTTCCACAGCAGAGCTCTGTGTTGTAACATTAATAACCCATATTTGAAGACATATATGCAAACTCATTGTGAGTTTTAAGAGTGGAAAATGGTGTCTAAAGAAATTCCTCTTACTCAGAACAGCACGCCCCCGTGTTAGCAGAGCTGTGCCATTTTAAGCGATATCAGTCTGGGTTTCAGGAATGCATTTGTCTTAGTAAAGTGATCCAAATGCTTTTTTTTGCCTGGGCCAATGTTTTAAAAGTTATCCTGAAGTTTTGAATAATAGTACAGTAACACCTTTTTTCCAGCCTGAATCCCCACATAAAACATAAAATTTCAGGAGTGCTGGAGTAAGCGGGAGTGTGTGCTTTTGCACCGCAGGGCAAATGTGCCATCCTCCCCTTCTGACCATGTCAGTGCATGGGGAAAACAGCCAGACCCATTTTCCTCATCTTACCCTATGAATTTCCATGTCATCTCCTTTGGTCTTTGGGCATAGGTAACTAAATTAGTGCCATCTCAGGAACGGGGCTGTTTATATCCTCTCCTCACTCTTAACATGCCTGTGCAGTCTGAGCCACTGATTGACCCCTATTGATCTGATTTGACTACGCTCCTGTGGAGTAGACAAACAGTGCAAGAGAATCCAGGGACTCTAATTCACAGCACCTTATTTAGGTTCCTAGGTAATAATTCTTATTTGCATTAATCACTTGCATTAATCACAGAGAACCTGAGGCTGCCGCTTGCCTTCTATGCATTCCTGTTCCTGACAATGGAACAAAAAGGTATCTGCTCTGAAGAAAGTGTGTTTGAAGTGTATTGACACTTGATGCTTTTCTAACAGTTGCAAAACTTAACTGTTAGAAAAAATACATTTTTTCAAATCAATGACTCACGCATTACTGTAAAATATATCGATTAAAAACAACGTATAATGTTAGTCATTTAGTCAGTAGAGTGATGCAATACTGAAATAAATTCATCCCTTGACTTTTGCATTAACCTTTTATTGACTGCTTGCACACTCATAATTAACACACACTTTAGCTAGCTTGGTTAATTTTAGCATGGTGATCAGTGTCCTCTAATGTAGATGACACCCTGATCATCAAAAATCAGTGCAGCCCAGGGAACCATGACCAGGCAAGTGTCTGTCTCAGTGGATGCACACCTGCCCAGGGAGATACCAGCCACCTTCCAGGGAAAGCATCATCTGCTGTTATGCAAATAGTCAAACAGTCATACAAATGCTTGTCATCACTTAGTTGAACATTGGTAAATATTAATGAGCAAAGTCCATTTGTCAAAAACAGACAAAAAGGTTATGAAAAATCTGAGAACTTTAGAGGGTAGAGGTAGTGAGAACGTACTCTTCAACAGTAACTAAAAATGGGCTTTTTAAATTGAAACTGTCACAAGTCTTGATTGTTTTAGTAAGAAAGTAGGGACCATGGAGTTTTGTGCATTCTCTAAACAAACAATTCTTTCTATAATATGTTATTGAACAATTAGTGTCAAGGTGTTGCAGCTAAATTGCTCTGAAATATATCACAGCAGTTTTCCTGTTCTCCTGCTGCAGATAAAATATTGAAGGAATCTATTCTGTATTTCAGAGTTTGTGTGATTTCCACTCTTTACTCAGTTTTTACATATAATATGCACAGGTTAGTTCTATTTTCCTTTGGAGTTTTGACTTTAGTAACTCAAATAAAAATTTTTAATTGATATGGAATATTTTCATTAACCTACAATATTGTAAGTCTTCATAGCTTCCCACTACCACCACAGCTTGATGTTTGCAGCCTTTTTTTGCTTCTTTTTATTTATCAGGAGTTATTGTTGCTAACTCACTTTAACTGTCAGACACAAAGAATTTTAAATAATTCTGTGCAATCATTTAGATGCATTTGACTGTTCTGCTTCAGTTTAAAATGTTGCTCTGCTTTTGGCAAGATCTTCAGCTCTCTTCCACTGCTACAAATTAAAGACCATTGTAGGAACAATTTCTGCTGTAGAATTTTTTAGTTTTTTTAATCAGATATATACTCATCTAGAAAGGTCTGGTTTTTGCACTGTAATTCTGAGTGAGAAAGCACATTTTTGACCATGTTCCAGATTGTGGGAGCTATTCAGGTGGATTGCTTATTGAACTGCCAGGTGCAGCAGTGACTGCCTAGAACCAGCCCCATAGCTTTGAATTTGACAAAATTTAAGCTGTCTTTGATGCCAGCAGATCCAGCACAGGGGTTGTATTTTTGGTCAAAATAGATGATTGACAAATTATAAGAGTGTATTATTCCCTGCTGTTCTTGCTAGTATGGAGCAAAGCTGTAGAAATCCAGCAGAAGGACAATTGCACCATGGATCACTGAACTTCTAGTACTGTGGCACTGCTTTCCCTTTTTTGTATTTTTAGAGCACATTGATGCATTTCTGTCATCAGACTGGTACAGTGAGTCTGAGTACCTGACACACTTCCATTCCAATCCCTCCCATGGAATATGCTATGGCTAAAGCTTCCCCCATTGCATGATCTCCTGGAAGTTCAGGCACGTGCTTGGCTGTGGGGAGACCTCTCAGCAATGGCTCTGCTGGCAGCAAATATAGAAAAGGGAAAGTAGCAAGTAGTTGCCCTTGGGTTGTCCAGGAACAGCATCACTGTGACTGCCACCACATTTACAGCAACACAAACACCCACATGTGAGGGAAAAGCTGGTCAATCTGTTTGTGTGAGAGAGCAAGGAAAAAAAAAGACATGAAAGGTACAGAGAGGGCTCTGAAATGCTGAGGAAGCTAAAGGTTGATATCTCTTTTCTCTCAGTGAAAACTGTTGTTAATAAATGTGGGAGAGAGAAAATGTTTATTATTATTATTAGCTGAGTTTTGCAGATCACATAACTTGCCTGCAGTATTTACTGGCTGAGCTTTGTGATTTGTTATCTGCAATAATCACTACATGGTTAATTTATCGACTTTTAGATGGAAATGCTTAAACTGGAATGTCTTATACTACCCACCAAACTGAGTGTATTATTTTGTGCCAAGACAGAAAATAAAGCAAGCTTTTAAAAGCCTTATAGAGTTATGCTGTAATTAGTTTCAACTTCCCCTGCATATTAATTTTCTCCTGTTCCTTTATATAATTTGGAAAATGTCTTCAGAACATGATGGCACAATCAGTTAAGTACCTCTCAGAACTCACACACTAAACTGCATTTGCTATAACAACTATTATAAAGCAGCCAGCAAAACAAATCCTCTGTTATTCTGTACAGTGCAGCTTATCAATGCAAACAGTTTAATATTTATGCTAAGAGGATTGTCACAAGTAGCTTCTGTTCCTTTAATTCTTGTTTTAAATAAATAATGAGAACATTTAAACACATTACTCTTCCCAGGGCCCTGAGGTCGGCTAATCTTATTATTTATGAAGTGATGTGCTACATAATAGTACTTAGTGCATGTTAACAGATGCTATTATCAGGGGCTGATGTGGAGAGCTGAAGATATATTGGAATGCTATGTGTTAATACTGTCCTTGTAGTGTAATGTACGATGGATTGAGTGCCCAGGATGCTGGTGCAGCAATTAACCACCCACCAACATGGGTGTAAAGCTGAAGTATGTTTTCTCATGGGGATTACGCTGCTATTAATAATTCCCAGGAGAAAAAGACATCTTTCATTTGGCAACAGTCTCTTCCAGAAGGTCAATGGTGTGGACTAGGAAGTTGAGTGTGTCAGTATTCTTAGAGTTCATTCTACTGAGGTGAAAGACACATATATGTTTAAAACAACTTTAAAGTTCTTACAAAAATTATGTGCTTTATAGAAAACAAGTTTTAAAAAATGTCATACAAGAGATAAAAGTGCATTTCTGCAATTTGGTTGTTATCTCTTTAAAGAGCTGTGTAGACCTGCAGTATGTACCAAAATTAAGGTAATTCTCTGCCTTTTTTTTTTTTTTTCCCATTGCAAATATTAACTAATTAATCAGCAATGTGCAAATTGTTTGAGGGGAAGGGAAAAGAGAGGGGGAGAAATCCTCCTTGAACTGTGACAATGTTTTTGATGTGGCATGTATTAATCTAATCTTTAGAGATGTGATGGTTGCCACTTATAAAAACTTTCCTCTGCAGGCTGCAGTTCAGTTGAATATTATAATTAGACTTCACTAGTATTGATGAATAATCCATTTGATAAAAAACATTGTAATTTAAACATTTTCTCTGGGGACTAACATACACTAGCCTCTTAATTTAATTTTATTGAAGTTTTGCCCACCTATTCATCATTGGAAGTTGTTATTAACCTCCATTTCCATTTTTCTTTATAGAATTTTCTCTTTTTATATTGCCTTTTTCAGTGCTAAGCAGGTTGATACACTTGTAAATCTCCAGAATCTACAAAGCTAGTCTGGCTTCTTTAATGTTGTTTAATCTATCCCCCCTGACCTTAATGCAGTAAATTCAGTTTAATCTTTCTCAATAATCTAGTAATACATTGGAAACCAGCAAACATTTAAATCTGATAATGATTTAATCACATACTTTAAATAACAGCTGAGATAATGAAAAAATAATTCACCATATAAAGGAACACTAACTGAGTTTTCTCTGTGATTGGCTTTTTGAGAAATCCCTACAGAAAATACAAAGCCTACAACAGAAATCAACTTCACTGGAAATGTGCAATCCATTTGGTGTCAGAAGATGTCGTATTTCTTTTTTTTATCATCTTTCTCTTTAAATTAATGCTCAAATGAATCCTTGCTGAGTATTCAGTTTCTTGATACAGTTTTACTTAAGTGGTTTATCTGCTTACCTTTCTTTTCAGGTGCCAGTCAGACGCAGCAGAGAGCTTGCCAGAAGACCAGAAACCAGAATGCCATCCCTTCTGGACAGATGATGATGAATGTAATATGCCTCTGCCATATGATCTAGAAGAAGTAATTGCTTATCTACAAAATCTTGTTCAATGGATAGAATAACAAGTGACCTTCCAGCCTAGAGTTATTGATGCTGATCATCTGGGGAGAAGCTTTGTCGTTATCATAAATCTTTTAAGCTTTATGATTTCTTGATTGTATGCTATTTTATGTGTCAATGCAGATTTTACTAGTCTTTACACAGTAGCTTAGTCACTGTCTCACAAGAAAGAGGACCAGCCCCCAAATTTAGAGAAGCGTGTGTTTTTTAAGACCTGAAGTCCAGAACACCAGCCTTAGTTCCCTCCTCCTCCACTCTAATTCCCATTGACCCTACAGCCCAGGGATATCTGTGTTTCAAAGAATCACAGGATGGGGCAGGTTGGAAGGACCACAGTGGAATCACCTTGTCCAACCTCCCTGCTCAAGCAGAATTGCCCAGGGCACAGGGCTGTGTCCGGACAGTTCTGGAATGTCCCCAGCGAGGGAGACTCCACAGGCTCTGGCCAGGCTGTTCAGTGCTCGGGCCCTGCACAGCAAAGAACTCCTTGCTCGTGTCCAGGTGCAACTTCCTGGGCATCATTCCTGCCCCTTCCTCCTGTCCCATTGCTGGCACCAGGGGCAGAGCCTGGTCCATCCTCTGACACCTCCTGCAGATACTGACAGACATCAGTAATGTCCCCTCTCATACTTCTCTTCTTGAGGCTGAGCAGGCCCAGCTCTGCAGTGTTTTGACACATTCCCTTGGTATCTAAATTTCAGCTTCCATGAGTGCCTAGAGCTGTCTCTGGCCTGGCAGGTTTGAGCAGCCCAAGGTGTAGCTCACACCTGTGCCAAAGCAGACTGCATGATCTGGGCACCCTAATGAGAGGCCAGCTTGGGCTGAGCCTGCTGGAGATCTTCAGAACAGAGCTGTGGAGTCTCAATCCGGTAACACAAAGGGGCAGGAGATGCTGGAGATATTCCTTTGTGCAGTGGCTCCTTTTCAGAGCATTTTTTCAGGTGAGGAATTCTGTAGGAGCATTCTAACATAGATCCCAAGACTTTCTTACTGTTTTGCCTCATGGCAACAGAGTACTAATAAGAGAAATTTCTGATGTGAATCTGTACCTCCTGGGTTCCCTGGAATTCAGAATTCAGTTCCTAATCATTGCTTTGTTTCTGTATGTTGTGAAACCTATTCTGAGGTCAGGTTTCCCAGTGCATTGCCTAAAGATGTGATGGACCTAAGTAAGACCTTCCATTTGGGCTGTTTGGTCCCCTGAGAAACTAGATTTAGATTGTGTGATATTGGGAATTTCAGCATCAAGTGAGATCTATGAGCATAAACCCAAAAACTATGAGAAATTAAGCTGTTTGTGATGTTTTGTAGTAACATGCTGTAAAAAGAACAATTATGTGTAGGATGATACAGGGTGCCCCTGAATTAGATAGAGAATTTTGTTTTGGTAAATCGCTATTTTATCTGAACTGATTGGACTGGTGTCCAACTTTGCCACAAAAAGCAGAAAATCATTATGGTGAAAAAACACTCAGGCTGTGTTACCAAAGAAGCCAGTAAGGTTCAGAGTTTGACATTACCACCAAGAAATGAATATGCCACCTGTGTTAATGTGGTGTTTAAAGTCTCTGCTGAGGCTGAGCTCACCCAGAACACACCAGCTTCTGTACTGGCAAAGAGCTGTGTGTGTGGATGAGGCTTCTACTCCTGAAAATTGTGCTTTTGACAGTATAACATATGCCAGACCTCCCTGGAGCTAAGGAAGCTGTGCCAGTAAAAATTCAGTTTTAGTGGTATAAAGCTGTGTCCACACCTACCAGCTTTTGCCAGGACAATTATATCAAGTAGAGGTTGTACCTCATAAGACTTTAGGTCAAGCTGTGCCAGCAAAAGTAAAAATACCTGAACCAAGTGTTTCCATCGTAGTCCTGAGCTTCTGTGAAAACTTTTTGTTATCCTGTGGAATGTAAAGACTCTCTGAAGAATAAGTTATTACTTAAACTAGCATTGATAATATTACCATGATCCACACATTTCTCTGTTGTCTCTTGTGCCATAGATTTCCTAATATTTGGAAACACTGCTATGGGCATAGCTTTCTCTTCCCTGCACTAGTTGAAGCTGGCTTTACCAGTGGCATATTTGGATTAGTGCCACACTAAACACTGTTTACTTTGGAGATCACTTAGAGAAAAGCTAGCTGAAGATGTGGGAATTCTGCTTTTGAAAAGGCAGTTCTCAGAAACAGATATTGCTTTGGAAAGGAGCAGTATGAATTCAGACAAGCTAATGATGTAACAGTGTTAACACAGTGTTTAGGGGGACTGTTTGTTTATGCTTTTATGTTATGATTACTTTGTGTATAATTAAGCACTGCTGAAATCCATGGGAATCACAGTATTGAAAGGAATCTGAACACCACAAAGGGTGGAGAAGGCACATCAATGATATAGTTTGTAGCTGAAGTGGAGGCAAAGCTATTAAAAAATGATTGCCAAATAATTATTTCCAGCATCAGTAAAAATAAAACCAAACTGAAACAATCCCAAACCTATTAGGAGGCTGCTGGCAGTAATAACAGAATTTTTAGAATACATGTTCCCAGTCCTTGCCTATGCTTGAAGATTTAAGGTAGTGAATTCGCTGAACTAGCACTAGTCTCAGTGCAGTCAGACAGCACTTATCTAAGCCATGGTTAGCAATGGTATGTACAAATGAACACCTTTGGAATAAGACTGCCAAAATACCAATAATCAAGTGGTTTAGGGCTCTGTGTTGCATTCCAGTCTTGCATCATCTAAATCAGTATAACCTGATTGTGCTCAGTTGAAATGCAGAAGTATGAGAAGATTTCATATCTCCAAAGCCCCCAGGAGTTGATAGCAATAACATGAGTAAGATGGTGGAACTGTTTGAAGCACACAGTAATGCCAACAGGAGAACACAGTTAAAGGTAAATATATATAAAAAAAACTGAGAGATCAAGTATAAATTATTGCTGTGCTTAGATTATGTGTTAGAAGCTGACAATCTACTTTGAAGATTTCTTTATTTTATTCAAGTAGTTACAATTTAGCTTGTTTCAATGATTCTTTAACAATCCATTTATATTCCAGCATTAGATAACCCATTTCCTTTTTGAAAGAGCTGGAAGACACAGCCTCTAATTAATGTTCTGTGTATAGCAATTGTTTGCCAAGCCTGGATGCTTTAGAAGCATGAGGACCAAGGTCAAGTTTTTTCAAGGAAGAGGTGAGAGCATAAATTAACTTGTGACATTAAATTCAGTGGTTCTTTTAAAATGGTGAAGTTCACGATTTTGCTTACATTTACTTTTCATCAGCCAGGACTGAATTGAGGTAAAATAGTTCACTTGCACGTGTGTGTCAGGCTAAATGGATTGCAGAAGATACAGATCTGTTTGCCTGTCTGCACTTGCCTTTAGACAATATTCATCAATTTTACAAAAGCTACTGACTAAACATGGAACCAGTACAAATGAAATGCTCAAGGCAAGGGCTTTCTTTTATAAATCTGATACAGAGTTGGTTTTACACTGATAGAAAGAAAATGTTGGCAGAAAATGAAAAACTTCTATTGTTTCTGTAATTTGGGGGATGAAAGATACAGACTGTTTTTAAGTATTTGATAGAAAACTGCTGTGTTGTGCAATGTAATTAGAGATGTTTTTATAATGTTTTGTTCATATCCGTGTATATAAAAATATTTTATCCCATCGGTCCTTTCTTCTGCTGAAAAGGTTATGTAAATAAATAAAATTAATCTCAGTACAGTAGATTTTAAAGGCATAATACTTATGTTCTAAGCTTTACAGCAGGTTCTGATTATTTAAAGGGTAAATAAGAATGCTGTGAGTAATCACTGACTGAAAACTGTGCAAGATGGGTAACATGCCCCATAATAAATATCCAAATCAGTTGTCTTATTATCATCTGAATATGGTTTTAGATTCACTGGTAGTGGTACAAGATGCAATGTAAAATCATGCTGGACTAATTAATGCAGTGGGGCAGATTCAGGGATTCCATTCATGTCACAGCACAGAAATCAAAATATTATTAAACTCCATCATGAAAGGTGACTACAATATTGTAATGTGTTAAGAGTTGGCATTGCTCCTTTCTCAGTTACAGCAGTGCTGTTCCATTAGTTCTGTGCTGTGCAGTGGAATTTGGGCTGCTGGATATTAAACCAGGCCAGGCTTAGGCTTTTGTCTAAGCTGGACTGAGAGCAGGGTGAGAGAGACGAGGTGGGATGCACAGGAGACCCAAGGGATGTGATTTTTCAAGGCCACAACTTCATTAACTGGACTCATATGGGAGTCATTGAGCTCAAACTTGTACAGTGCAGGTCAGGATCTCTCTCTTAATTGTTACCACCTGGTGCAAAGTTAATGTTGGCTCCCTAAACCCCTTCCTGCCCCTGACAGCCAGTCCTCAGCTTTCTGCTGGGAGCTGACCACTCTCAGCTCACACCAAGATTACAGAGTTGGGAAGAGTGGTTATTCCACTGTAGCAACAGGGGTGAGAAACTCATCCCCAGCTTCAGCCATCCTCTCTCCTGCTACAGCTCCACAGACTGAGTACCTCCAAACATTCTGTTTCTCATTTGAGATTCAAGTTGCTGCAGCTCATCTTCTGTCCTGTTCTACCAGGACAGTGATCTGACACAGGGAAGGGCCAGACAAGAAAAATTCTGTTTGCATGAGGCTCCTCATCAAAAACAGACACCCACTGGACTCTCTATAAGAGTGAAAGGTTCAGGACTACAATAATCTGCCTTTAGAGGGTGGGAGCTGCTAGGGAGTGATGAAGGTCTCTGGCCAAACCACCAGCATTCATTGTTCTGTAGGACTCCCATCCTGCCCTGTTCTGGCTCACCCCACCTGTACAGGCAGAGGCAATCCTGAACAGATCCACTGCACAGGCAATCCTGAACAGAGCCACTGGACAGGCAATCCTGAACAGAGCCACTGCACAGGCAATCCTGAACAGAGCCACTGCAGAGGCAATCCTGAACAGATCCACTGCACAGGCAATCCTGAACAGATCCACTGCAGAGGCAATCCTGAACAGAGCCACTGCTCTCTTTCCTGTCCAAACTGACTCTTCACCTTCAGTGTGGCTGAGCTTGTACCTTCATTTACATTCATCTGTCCTCTTCACCTTAGCCTGAGGGCATTCAATGAACAAGAGAAGATCATTTATACAATTACAAAAAGACTGTACATAGAAAGGCTACAGATCTGGCTGAATAACACATAAAATAAAATCCAAGAAATAACCAATAAAATTAGCACACTAAAATGTTGATATTTAGGCACGAGCACTTTACATATTATAGGAACTCTTGTTTCTCTTCTTGTTGCTTAGGAGATAACATTCATTATCCAAAAGGATGTATTATGCTTTGGTTTACAGTCTCTAAATCTCCACTGGTTTTACAGGGCTTGTCCATGATGATCAAGAATTTGGTCACAAAAGTTGTTCTCCTCCCCCTCCCTATCCTCAAATACTTGCTTTCATGCCAACACATCTTGGTCTGATTAGTCCCCTTGATTACAGGCTAAAGCAAAAAGTCAGGTGTATAAGATTCCCATTATCCTTTATTCCACTGCTTCTAAGAACAGGTCAGATAGAGTTATTTCAGTGAAAATGTGAACAATCAACTTCTGTTTACCATTAACCTTCAGTTTTCTTTTCTTAAAATCAAATCAGGGCTTGGTAGGCAGTTATTTTCATACATGTCCCTTGATCAGTGGAACAATCTGTCAAAAGCCATTAAAGCCTCTATTAGGTTGAATTGCATTCAAAGTTAAGCTCTCCAATCATTTGAAGGACTGTGATGATTGCTTTTAATATAGTATACATTGATTTCTCTCTTGGAATAGCAGCATAACTTTGAAACTAAGCATGTATGACTTGAGCATTTTGCTCTCCAGTATGTTTTGAGAAGATTTGTTTCTTGTGGAAGATTAATGTGTACATAAAAAAAAGGGAAAAACAAATGCAGTGAAATCACCTCTTTATTGTCACGAGTTTTTAACTTTTCCTAGTTCATTGTAACCTCAAGGTGTAACATATGAAATACAAAGAAATTTTCCAGGGTCCCTTTCCTCAACAGCTTCACTGATTTATCTAATTGTACTGTTATTGTAAAAGTGGCTCTTTATCTTAAAATATCAGGATGCTTTACACAGAGAAACTGAGGCAGAGGTCAAAAGTGCAGCTGGGATCTGAGTGCCAGCACTGGAACGAGTGTTATGTAACCCTCTGTCGCTGGCATATCTCTATCACTTCCAGAAGTCAGCTCAGTTTACAGAGTAAAGATGCTCTCATAGAACTTGTTGTCCCCCAAAGTTATATCTGAAAGTTGAGCTGGAATCTGTCCTACTCATGTCATATTTAGCATAATATTTAATTGCATAACATACAATAATATATCTCATATAATAGAGACCTTTCAGACCTCCTAAGGTTTGATTAAAACTTTCCAGTGAATCTTTTAGTTACATTCCAAGTCCCTGAGCTCTCAATGGGAAAGACAGATTTTATTGGAATTAAATGATTCCATGGAGAGTATGCAGTGTATAATATGATACAATCTAATACTACCCCCACTCTTCTAGATCTATTTTAAGTATTTCCACTGCGTGCCTCACAAGGTGGCACAGCTGCTGTATTAGGAAACTCTTAAGAAAATACCCTGTTGGTATTTGTGCTGTTTTTACCAAGGTGAAGGTGAGCTGCTGAAGCAAACTGGAATGCTGGTTATGCACCTGTTAGCACTTTGGTCTGGTACTTATTTGGTAGTCTGGTAGTACTTTACTCAGAGCACTGTGTTACTAGCTATTTTGATGAACATCCTAATAAATTATTATCCAACATCAAAGAATTCCACAATTCTTTTATTGCTGTTCTTTCTCTTCTGTTGACTGATGCCCCTTCTTTCCCTTTTGTCTCAGTATTAACAGTAATGTTATTAACAAGTTTTGTTCTTTGTTAGGCTGATGTGACCTTTAAGTGAGAAAAGTTTAGAATTATGTATCAGATATTTCCTGAAGTACATTTCTTTTCAAACCAATTCACTAGGTTATTTTGACTACTTTTCCATGTGGTACTGCTACTTTTTATTAAGACCTATTTATAGAACTCTGCAAGATATACAGTGATATGTAAGTTTGTTATGTATTTACTAATTTACTGACATTTATCAAATAAACTTCCTAAAGAATCTGTTTGTCTGTCTTTTGCCTTTCAGAAGGTGTTGGTTCTTCTTTTCAATACCTCATAGTTGCAGTGCATGAGATTTCAGGTGCACAGGTGACAAAATTGGTTTCTGTAAGCTCTCTGATGCCAAATAGTGAGAGATAAACCTCATCAAAGCACCACACTCAAAGATGCTGAGTCTACTCTTCAGTGGCACATTGCTCAAAACCTGGACTGTGTGTCAAGTCCAAGTGCATAGTTATCCTCATCTGCCTATGCTGGCAAGTTAATAACAGTAAATAGATAAAATCGGTGGTGGAGGGTTTGGGGTATTTTTTTTTTTGGTGGTTTTTTTTTTTTTTTTTTTTGTGGTTTTTGGTTTGTTTTTTTCTTGAATTGATAGAATTAAACACTGGTTATATTGCAAATCTTCTAGTGAGGAAGGCAGAATAATTTCTGTGCCTTTGTTAAGACTCATACCATGAATGAATCTGACTTCTACTCCCTGTAATAGTGTTTCCTTCAGCAAAAAAATATGGCTCTGTTAGGTTTAGAACACATTCTTCTGGCAGTGCAGCCTTTCACTTCCCATGTCTGACACAAACTGTTACATTATGTGAGTGGTAGGAACTCAGTGCCCACCACCATCAGCCTGTTTGAGTGTTTAAACTGTTTGTTCCATGTTTGGTGCAGTAGAGCTTGCAGTTTAAAACATGTGTAGTCATTATAACAAGGCAATGTCAAAGAAATGTGTCTTGTACATAGACTGAGAGGTAGTGAGGTTTGGGATGTCCATTGTTTCTAAAGAGTTTCTTTTCACAGGCTTTTATTCACCCACATCAGATTTTGTGTAGGGCTCTCCTATGTCAGAGGAACAGTTGTCATTAGGTGTCTCTTTCCAGTGGAAAGCTGTGTCCATGCCATCCAGATTCGAGTGGGAGAGCAAAGCAAGGACTGATACTGCAGATGTCCTGTGATGCTCTGGCAGGAGCCATTGCAGAGATCAGCACAGTGAGATGTGATGTGCTCATGGCCACGTGGCTGAGGTGCACTGCAGTGTTCTGTAATTCCTGGAGTTCCCTTAAGGCCAAAGGCTGTGTGTGCAAATGTTCTGCATTAGTAGATTCCAGCCAAGAGGTGATGGAAATGTGAATAGAATTGGCCAGGATGGAATGGAGTCTCCAAGTAAAAGTTGACAGAGAGCATTATGAACACACACTCCAGCTCAGAGTCAGCAAGGCATCCAAGAGATGACAAATTTGCTTTCTTAGCCTAGAACATTTTTTCCTTGGCTTTAGAAGAGGTTTAATTGATTTAAGTAAAAGCTGTATGGAGACCCATTTGCAAAACCAAAGTTAGTCTGAAACATTTCTTACAATCCATTGTGATATATGTCTAGAAAGACCAAGATGAGTGTCCCTGGGATCTAGAATGCCTTGAGCTGTTCACTTTTTTCTCCGTTTTTTACTCAGAGCATACTTTTCTTTTCCTTAACTTTTCTTAAAAATGGGTAAAACACATGGCAGTAGTAACCTTTAAAAAAAAAAAAAAAAAAAAGATGCAATAATCAGGGCCTGTGCTGGAGGGACACAAGCACAAGGAAACTCAAGAACATCTTCTGTTGGGGTTAAGATGCTCTCCCAGCATCTCCATTCAAAAGCAGCAGGTTTTAATTGAGGCAGAAACTAATCAGGATTCAGTGATTGTAGAATTTTTTAATTTTACCCTCAATCCATTCTTTCTATAGGAAATCTGTCATGAGAACCTAAATTCTCCTTGAGGAGACAGGCTTGTTGTCTTTTCACCATAAAGCCTCGTTCACCCTACAGTCATCATCCTGCAGATGAGAGTGTCATAAGGGTATACACCCTGCTGTAGCTGAAAGATATTATTTTCTTTGGGTGATGAGACTTCATTTCTGATCTAAAATGTCTCAAGTTATATTGCTGAAGTTGCAGATATGCAATTTATCTGTCAGCCAATGTCTGTATTTTGTGGTCATGCAATCATAGTTCAAAGTGAGTTTTTGCTAAACGTTTTTAAAAGTGTTGGGTTTTTAATTCCAAAATCATTCATATAAAAGAACCATTATCTCAAACCAGAAGAATCACACTGAGTTTGTAAATAGGTAAAAAGAAGTAAAGAAAGCTTGTATCACTCTGGATTCTTGGTTTTTCAGTGGGTCCAGAGTATGATTTTAGAGTTTGTAACTGAATCAGCTTATCTGCTAAAGACATATGTGCAAGTTTTCATCTAATCTATATGATGCCCTCTTTGCCCAATTTTATTTCATTTCAGCTGGTCTGTATGAAACTTGCTGCATAATTATCACTAAGATTTTGGAACTAACAGCACTTAATTAGGTTTCTGTTACCCTATTCCTAGTTGCATGTTAATTATTAGGGTGAAAATAGAGTGCTTTTCATAAGCCTTCATATTTTCTGTTTACAAGTATTTTGCTAACATCTAATAAAATTAATGGCCTCTAACAACAAGAGGAAGTGAAATCCTACTTAGCAAATTCATAGCTTTTCAAAGTATCTCGTGGCTTTATGATATGTCAAACTGTAGGAATGTAGAAGTGGTTTAAGGAGCTGTTGCTGGGTTCAACTAGCTGCAGAAACTTTTAAGTTATTTTTGTTTCTCCTCTATTTCTTAACCTCTGGGGCCTAAGTCTGGGCTACTCGATAAAGCAGTCATTCAGGAACTTGAAACTATGCAAGCTTTGATAGACTTGGAACAAGATCTTGTATTAAACATACATTTTAAAAATAAAATTTCAAATCTGGAAATTGATTGTGGCTTGACCTGTATATACTGAAGAGCTCACTGTTCCTTACTTTCTTTGCTTTACTGATATTATTAGATCTGTTGTTCTTTTACCAGAACTCCCAGCTGATAGAAGAAAAATCAATGAAGAGCAAAGCATATTGGACAACAGCACTTTCATTAGAGCCAGGGCCACAACTGACTAACTAAGACTAAGTTATGACATTTCCACTTTTAAAGGTTGCAAATGCTCGTATTATGCATTTTCTGGTATTCTCAGGGGGCCAGAGCCAAATATATATTAAGCAAGCTTAGAACAGAGCAGTTTTCAAAAAAAAAAAAAAATTCAACACACAGGTTTTTTGTACATGCCAATATGAGGATTATAAATCATAACGAATTTCTCTCCAATGCTTTTTTTAAAAACATAGCATACATCCAAAGTTACACTTCCCAGCATTTTATATTTATCTGCATACCCTTAAATTCCCTCATTTCAATGAACTGCTGGACATAGTGATCTCTCAGGTGGCTGTTGCAGTGTGCATTCAGCCCTTGCCTGGTACTGAGCAGGATGCAAAGGGATCTCTGAGGATGCATCCCCTCCACACAGCATTGCCTGAGCCAGCTCAGCTTGGATTGAGGATGCTCAGAGGTCTGCAGTTCAAGCACACGTCTGCCCAGCTAATGGGGTCAGAACATCTCCTTCCAATAATGGATTGGTTCTCTCTAGGGTAAAGTGCCTCTAAGAGAAATTGAGAGGAGATCCATCCTTAAATAAGATTTGATGCAGCCCAGGAGAATGACAATTACATCTTTTGCTAACACTATTTCTAAGGCAAAGTCATACCTTGTAGGAAACAGGATGATGGAGTACTTGGGGAGATTTTTGTAGTGTAGTGGCAAGGAGATAGGTCCATGCTATAGAAAAGTTCTGTGAGAGAGAAAATGAAACTCGTGTAAGTGGCTGTTCTGTTGCAGACAGTGAGAAGCATCCCTGTGTGGGTCACCCTAGTCAAGTCTGTGTTATTTTTTTCTTGGACTAAGTGCAGCTGGTGACAGCAGCAGATATTTTTATCCAACAGATGGAAAACACAAGAGCCACTCCTGGGGTTGAAGTCCGGGGACCCAGCTGAGATGTACATTAAAAGAGGCACTCAGAAGGGCTGCCAAAATCAAGTTAGAGCTGCAATTAGAATTCATACCTGGATGGATGGTCCTTTGCTGTGTCCCATGGCATAGGTCTCAGCTGAGGCGCTGGGCAGGGGAGATTTCATTGGAGACACTGAGCTGTGTCTACACCTGAACTTTCTCCCTCTCATACTCACACATATTATTTCCCCACACTGTGCAGGACTGTGCATACTGTAGCAGCAAACCTGCCCCAGAGTCACCAGCTCAGGGACCAGCATGGGTGGGCAATAATCCTGTGGCAAGGACAGGAGATCCCAGCAGCTAGAGGGCATTAGAGCCACCAGTGAGATCATGCGTCTCTGAACAAAAGCAGTTTGTTTGCCCCTCTGATTCCCAGATTACTGATTCACAGAAAGGCATTTTCAACCATAATTCTTAAACTCAAATCCTGATTTTCATGGCAGGTCTGTGGCTGAAATACAACTTGGAGGTGGGGGCAGTAGCTGAGATTTTGTCTGTCTCTAGCCACTTAGTTTTCTATTTTGTAATTCCACAGCCTTCTGCACATGTCAGTTTTAGATGCAAGATGTAGCAGTAGGCTCTCCAGTCATTGATCCTGACTTAACTGATGTCAATCATACGTTTTGGACACTTGCATAATCCTCCTGGCCCAGACTCCTACATCAGCACTGGCTTGTCAGAAGTTCAAGTTGCACAGCAGCGCCTGAACCCCTTCAGAAGCGTGGCTGCAGCCCCCTGCTCTCACCTTCCTGCTCTCACCCGCTGTGGGAGAGGGCACAGCTCTCCCTCTTACCCTCCTGGTCTCTTTTCCAGCTTTGTCATAGGTGCTTGCACTCGCTGCTGGCCTTGACCCAGTGATGAGGGTCCCTTTCCTTGAAGGAACATCCCTCAGGGTAGTGATGAGACACTGGAATAGGCTGCCCAGAGAAGCTGGGAATGTCCCAGCACTGGAAGTGTCTGAGGCCAGTTTGGGTCCAGGGGAAGGTGTCCCTGCCCAGTGCAGGGGGTTGCAACATCTCTGAGGTCTCTTCCAACTGCAGCCATTCTGTGATTTTGAGTCAGCTGCCTCTGCTCACTGTGACAG